ACCAGACTTAAACAGACTTAAACAGACTAGACCAGATCTAAATTCCGTAGTTATAAAATACATAGAGACCAGACTTTTGCCAGACCAAATTGGACTTAAACAGATCCGACCAGACCAACAAATTTTAGTCCAAGTAAAAAAATCCTTATACAAAAACAGAACAAATTTCAGTCCAAGTAAAAACATCTTTATACAAAAACAATGTTATTGTGATAATAACATATTGATGTCGTCTTCAACTTTGAACAAGAACTATTATAATTATATTTAAACATTGCATGTGCAATGTACCACATATTAAAAAAATCTCTTAAAAATAATTTCAACATATATACATATAAACAAAACAATAGTGATCTTCAAAAAGTAAAAATATCAAACAACATTGATATAAAGCCATATATCATTGAGTTGATGTTGTGTTTCTGGTCATTTCAATAATTTAAACGAAATTATGTACTTCGTATTAAACTTTCTATGTAAGGGTATATTGGTATACCAATTATTTTCAAGATATATATATATATATATATATATATATATATATATATATATATAATAGAGATCAAATACAAAGTCTTCTTAATTTACAAAGTACAAACTCATCTTGACCGTCCGATGAGTTGATCCAAAGGACATAAAGGCAAAGTGACATTTTTGTAATAAAACTCAACTTTTTAGGATGCAACTCGTTGCACCTTAATGTGCAACTGCTATTTTTATGACTTTATAATGTGCAATACTTTGAACCTCAATATGCAATACAAATAACGTCAAAGTGCATCGTACAAATATTTGCACAATAAGCACACTTTGTACTTGATTTTTCCCCTATATATATATATATATATATATATACATATATTGATACCATATTGAAGTAATTTTGTACTCTCCCCTGTCATACCGCAAATGTAGATGTACCGATATTTCTGTAAATTCGGTATTTTTCTCAACATGCCAAGTGCGGTATAACAAAATTTTGGTAATTTCCCCCACACCTTGAAATATATTAAGACTAAAAGTAGGTTTCAATGTAAAAAATGCCTTTACTCTAAAAAGTACATTCACTTTCAACATGTCATCCATAATATGGAGTATCATCCTGAAATAAGAATGTTATTAGAGCATCTTTAATGGTTAACTAGTTGTACTTGTAATTTGATTTGCCACATAAGCACTTCTAACAAAACTATTTCAATGTAAAAGGTAATTCAATGGTGAGCTACAACTTCTTTCACTTCATTTACTATTGATAATAATGTCATTTTTAATAACACTTTTACTTCAAATCTAGTAGCTCATGTTAGGTAGTTAGTTTTCTCAAACAAAAAAGAAAACGCTTCAATGATCGATTATTATTTGCTTTAATAGTGCGTAATTTAAGCAAAAGAAGATACTAAGACGCTAAATAGAATTGCTAAATAGGTTATTGCTATTTGAATTGCTAAAACGATAATAATGCCTAACAAACACAAAGAGAATATAATTAAGCAATTCTACTAAATTCAGCGAGTTGAGTTACTTTAGTTTTACAAATAGGTTCTAAAAGACATGACTTAGCTTGATCACTATAAACTTAATTGCTGCAGATCCACAGCGTAATTTTATCCATACTTGCTATCATATGTGAGGTTCTTGCCCTTCTATGGTACGTGACTCTTTTTGTTGTAAATTAAGTTAATATATAGTAAAACTTATGAATAAATTCCACTCTGATTTTATGGGTATTGCACCATTTTCATATTTTGCACACATATCTGGCTTTTATTCCCTTTGACATATGACTATTGTGTTTTACTCATTTATGATCCCCACTTCGATATTCCCACCATTTCAAAACACCATAGGGGTGCTAGAAACTTGGCACAAATGACTACAAGTGAATAAAAAACGGTAGTCAAGTAGCAAAAGTGAATTGATGAAAGTTAAAATATGTGAAAACTAAATGTGAAAATTGATATATAATTTGTTGGACTCAAAGTGGAATAATTTCAAAATCTATAGAGCCTCTAACAAGGACCTATGTTTGTATCTTTTTCAGGTATGGTCTGAGTTACATTCCTTTTGCTCGTAAAGTGGTTACAAATATGACAACACGTCCTTTTAAGAGAGAACCAAAGTAATTGAAATTTACAATGAAGAATTGACTTTTGATATATGATATCTCCTCTTTTATCTCCAATTTTGTTCATGTTCTATTTGTATAAAATTTCATCTGAAGTGGTGACATATACTATATCCAAAGAGTGGATGGCAAAGTTATGATGATTTTTTGTGTATTCAGTAAAACTTAATGTTATTGAAATTAATTTATTAGGATATTTTAATTAGATTGATTTCAATTCTAAATATCAAACAAACACTTTGTGGAGGAAATCTTTTTCCACTTTCTATCTTGTGTTTGCATTTCGAACAATTTCTTTAAATTTATAAAATAGAGTTAATTAGTTGTAATTTATCTTGCTATGCATGAATACCCCACGAATATTCAAACATAGTTAATAATAAACGACACATGTCAATATATAAACTTCATTCACAAAAATGGTTCATTAAACTAAACCTAATTCAATGATTATAAATTTCTGAATATATACTTTGTGATTCATATGTAAATAATTCAAGACAAATAAAAATAAATAAATTATCGAGCAACTTTTGGTTCGATAACATCACTGTAACATTTCTTAAAGGCCTAGACTCATAGCCTAATCGGTTGAGGCCCTGAACTCACCCTCGAGTCTAGGTCCACGACATGGCCTAGTAGGCCCAAGCCCGAGTCCAAAAGGGGGGATGGGTGCAATCTACCCTAATGCGCTGGATAGGCCAAACTGGGCCGAGACAGACTGGACAAACCGAAATGGGCCTCGTGGATCGGGTCATCCGTGGGGATAGGGTGCTGGGCCGCTGAACCGTAACAGACCGAGATAATATATCTCAACAAGTAGTAAGTATGTTGTCCTTAAAAATTAAAAATCATTTAATAAGTTACCCGCAAGTTATAAACAACCATTTAACCAAATACTCCCTCCGTCCCTTATAACTTTGTCAACTTTCCTTTTTCTGTAACATTTCTTAAGGGCCTAGGCTCATAGCCTAATCGGTTGAGGCCCTGAACTTACCCTCAAGTCTAGGTCCACGACATGGCCCAGTAGGCCCAAGCCCGAGTCCAAAAGTGGAGGGAACTCCTCCTATTTATAGAAGGGGGGATGGGTGCAATTTACCATAATGCGCTGGATAGGCCAAACTAGGTCGAGACAGACTGGACAAGCCGAAATGGGCCTCGTGGATCGGGTCATCCGTGGGGATAGGGTGTTGGGCCGCTGAACAGTAACAGACCGAGATAATATATCTCAACAAGTAGTAAGTATGTTGTCCTTAAAAATTAAAAATCATTTAATAAGTTACCCGCAAGTTATAAACAACCATTTAACCAAATACTCCATCCGTCCCTTATAACTTTGCCAACTTTCCTTTTTTTAGATGTCCCACTAACTTTGCCACTTTCCCTTTTAAGTAAAGAATTTGTGGTTCCAGTTAATTCTCTCTCCTCTGTACAAACCTCAACCACACAGTTTTTACTTTATTAATCCACGTGTTGGTCAACTTTGGCAAAGTATTGAGAGACAGAGAGAGTATTATTTTACAAACCACTAATATGAATGATATTATGATCAGCTGATAAAATAGCCAACCAAATCTGTTATGTGATAGTCAATAGTCAACAACCAATTGTCAAACACCTCAACATCATACACACAATTACCACAATAATTCATACCAAAGGACATTTATGTGATGATCCCACACTGATCAAGTATGGGCTTGATCAGTGTTTTATCAGCTGGTGTCCCCTCTTCTTAATTGGCTAGGCTTTTGGGAGTGAGTTCTATCTCTGGAGTTATAGCATTGGTATGAGCCTAGTATGAGCTAGGTTCGTAACAATTGAGTCGTCCCGATCTTCCTTGTCCCAACTCCCAACACTCGGAGTTAGGCCTGGACTCGGGCCGGGCAGCCCGACCCAGAACCGGCCCGGCCCGGCCACTGTAGCAACCGGCCCGGCCCGGTGGCCCGGTCCACCGGCGGTTCGGGTCGAACCGGCCCGGTGGTTCCCGGTTCCGGGCCCGGGCCTTCCAAATGGTGAACCGGCCCGGCCGGTTCGGGCCCGGTCCGGGCCGGATTTAATTTTTTTTTTTTTTTGAAATTTTTTTAAAGTTTTGGGTTGGAATAGGTATTTTGGGCCATTTTAGGTGGTTTGGGGTGATTTGGGGTTGAGGGGGAGGGGTAGGGGATTAAATAGGAGAACAAAAAAAAAAAAAATTAAGTGGGCCGGTTCGGCCCGGCCCGGCCCGGCCCGGTTTGGCCCGGAACCGGCCACCGGCGGTTCGGGCCCGGGCCTCCCATTTCCTGGCCCGAGGCCCGGCCGGGCCCAGGCCCGAACCGGGCCCGAACCGGCCCGAGTCCAGGCCTACTCGGAGTGGTGGCTTGATCTCTGGGGGGTGCCAACTGTGACCAACGAGAACAAGTACTCCCAACACTCTGAGTATGGCTCTTCGAAGCGTGGAGATTTGTAACGATCCAACACCGATCAAGTATGAGCTTAATTGACTTATGACATTGGTATGAGTCTAGTGTGAGATAAGTCCCTAACAATTTAGAGCCCGTTTGGTAACACTGATCGGCGCTGAAATTTATTAAGTTCTGCCTTAAGTGGTTGTATATGCTGGTTCTGTTGATTTATGAAAAAATAAATTTAAAATATATTTTATTAATAAAAATAAAGAAAAAATTATATTTAAAGATAGCTAAAATTGCCCTCTACAGTAACTTCAGTTGAAACAGCCAAAAAAGTAACTTCAACCTTACTTTTTCTTATTATTACAGTTTTCGGTGCGTGACATCAAAAATTACGTATTTGATAAAAATGTTATCGATAAAAATCTTACTTTCAATGAATAAATATTTGAGAGGGGTCGAACATTGTTTACCGTCCATAACAGCATCTGAGATCCGGTCGTCCTGGACAAAAATTGGCGGTAACTGAAGCTACTCGTACGCGTCTTCTATCCTGCGACTATTCATTTGGCTGATGATAAGAATAGGTCAAGCCTGTCACCACTCTTTGACCGCCGTCTCACCATTTCAACCACCGGAACCATCCCAGCAAAGAAAGAACCGATCAAAATCTCTCAATATATCTTCTCCGATGTCCCCAAAGGAAAAAATCCCTCAATACATTCTACTCCCAGAACACAACCAACCACTCATTCCCAGATCCATTTCCCGGAAATGTCGCCGCAAAAGCTCTTCTTTTCCGCCGCCGCAGCTCTACTTCTGCTCGCACTCTTTCTTCCTCAAACAGCCTCCAGAACCTTACCCGATCCCCCTTGTCCTCCATCTTCTTGCGGAAACCTTCACAACATAACCTTCCCATTTCGTCTCAAAAGTTCTCCACAGAATTGCGGCTATCCCAAATATGTGCTGGATTGTTGGAACAACCAACCAAGCATAATGTTTGAAACGGAACGGTACAACGTTCAGGCAATCAATTATTCGGATTACTCGATCAGGGTTGTCGACCCCGGATTGCAAGATCAAACTAATCGAAACTGCACTAGTTTCCCCAAGATTGTTCTAGGCAGTGATTTCTTTGACACCGGTTTTAAGTTCCGCTCCACTGGAGCTAACGTTCCTATAGTGTACACCACCTGTTCGACGAATTTATCGAAAGAGTACGTCCACACGGAATTCTGTACGAAGGCGAGAAGCAACGGCAGCAGCTACGTGACAATTGGTGACAGGTTGTCGACACGAGACGTGCCGAGGAGTTGCAGCTTTGAAACAGTGGCATGGGCCTCGGTTAATGGGCTGATCCCGGGCGACAACAGTTCTCTGTCCAGCATCCATGCTGCCCTGGGCTACGGCGTCGAGCTTTCTTGGAAGAGGGCTTACTTGTGTCGAGATTGTGAGCGCAGCGGAGGCCAGTGCTTCTTTGATGATCCTCTCAATCTTGAAGGTGTTTCTTGCAGCCATCGTTGTTATGATGATACGGGATTTGATCTTCCTCTTCCTTGTAAGCCCTAATCTTTAAGCATCTCACATTCATAAAATATAAAATAAGAATAAACTAATATGTTAAGTTACAGCTGATGTTTGACTTTATAGAATGGAACTAAGCCTTAACAGCATTTTCTTTAGAAAATTCTTATGGTGTAAGTCGTTTTCTAATGCCTTTTGTTCTTTTTTCTGCAGGTAGCATCCATTATTATGGAGGTAGGTTTTAAATATTAATTAAAGCTTATCTGGTTCCAATTTCTGCTAAGAATGAATGTTGCTATTTTCCAGTCCGTTTGGTAAGGGTTATTTATTTAATTGAACTAATTGAATATGCAAACTTCTCTGGAAAAAAATGTTTTTGTAGTGCATATGTCAGAACTCTATTTATATGCATTTCTTGCTGATAAATAGAATTTATCAGAATTCATTACCAAACGGATCCTTTAATCTCTTAATAATGTGGCTTTCATAATTTTCATAATTTTTTTCTCTATAATGAGACTTATCCTTCCTTAGTTCTTTAATTGAATGATACATATGTATTTCTAACATTCTATTTTCCCCTCTCCTGTCTATATTTTTACAGTTCTGGTGATATTATATGGCCTAGTAACGATAGGTAATGACTTAAATTTATCTCTCAGTAAAGTTTGACTTGACCAAACTGATAACAAGTTTGGTTTTGTAATTCTATTTACTGACTTTATTTTTTATTTTCTAAACTCCCCAGTACCATTTCTGGGAATCAGATTTCTCCTTGGGATCATACTTTTTGTTGTGCTAGTCGTCTATCAACGAAAGAGGCGTCATTTACCAGGGGATGTCACCATTCAGGATTTCCTCGACATTCAGAGCAAACTGCTGCCAATAAATTACAGTTATGCTGAGATTAAGAAGATGACTAATGGTTTCAAGGAGAAACTAGGAGAAGGAACCAATGGAACAGTATACAAAGGGAAACTTAAGAGTGGACCTCTCGTTGCAATTAAAATGATGAAGAAAACCATTGGAACAGGAAAAGAATTTCTCAATAAGGTTGCTACAATTGGAAGTATTCACCACGTGAATGTGGTTCATCTCATCGGATTTTGCATCGAGGGATCTAATCGTGCTTTGGTATATGAGTTCATGCCAAACGGGTCTTTAGAAAAATGGGTATTATCTGAACAAGGGGATACCACCCCCTTGAGTTACAAACAAACGTTTCAGATTTCTCTTGGTGTGGCACATGCAATAGCCTACCTTCATAATAAAGGGTGTGACAATTTCGTCAATATGCCTCACAACGTTCTTCTTGATGAGAATTTCAATCCGAAAATATCATATTTTGGGCTCGCAAACCTGGACGACGCGGATAATAATGTTGTTCACAGTTTTGGAATGCTGTTAATTAAATTGGCTAGGAAATTGATCAATATGAATCCAAACGCCGATGCCATGTGGATTTATGATCAAATCATGGAAGGGAATGAAGTAGTAGTCACTGGAGATGGTAGTGAGGAAGAGAGAAAAGCTATGAAGAAGATTATCGTAGTTGCTTTGTGGTCCATACAGATGAAGTATGCCGATCGTCCTCCTATGAACAGAATTGTTGAAATGCTTGAAGGAGATGAAGATCTCATAGAGATGCCTCCAAGGTCATTTATTGCTCCACACACATAAGATGAATGTTGATTCCATTGAATCATCCATAGTAAATACATACTACAGCTATGGATTGTTTTTTCTTAATCTTGTAAATTTCTTCGTTTGTTCTCCTGTTATTGGTGCAATTCATTTGATGTTCATTTGATTGTTTTTTTATCTAACTGAAATTATGACGAAATCTTTTAGGCTAAAGGGTCAAATAGGCCCATCTATCGATCACGTTTGGTGTTTGCTCAATTCAGTTTCTCAACTAAAAAAAATCAATTCCTATTCTAAACTTGTAAAAAAAGTTCAAATTTCACGATTTACGGTAAACATCCGGTTACCCACAATGTTACCTGGCTGGTGCCAATTGTACATTTGATGTAAAGAGTAAAAGTTCAAATAGGTCCTTGAACAAAATAGAACTCCAATTCACCTCCAAAACTTTACGAAAGTTTCAATATAAGAATAAATTCAAAAAACATATTAAATAAAAACTAATAATAAAGATAAATTAGTTTTATACAGTAAAAAAATATAGATAAAATTTATTTGTATTTTTTGGTTAACTCGAACTACAACTACGAAAATATAAAAACATAAAAATAATTTATATGTATATTTTTACATTTGAATCTTTATTTTAGACCTTTGATATTCTACATAATACTTTTTTTGTATTTTATAATTTAATTGTTCATGTATATAGTATTAATACTTTTTACGATATAAATATTATAGGTATTCAATTTTGTATTTACGTTTTATTCTATATTTTAAAGATTTTTTATTTTTATTTCTATTTTTATTTTTATTTTTTATTTTGTAATATATAGAGTGTCGATCCTGTCAAGCCGGCTTGACAGGACTCACTGTCTAACCAAGGCCATTTGGGGGCCTTTTGGTAGAAGGTTTTTATGAAATTTTTTTAACATGTTTTCGTCATGTCTAGTTTATGCTCACTAAATTTCAGATAAAAATTGAACCTGGATAAATAGGTGAGGTGGTTTAGTATTCGAATAAAAGATGTAAAATCATTCCTTTATAATTCATTCCCAAACCCAACTCTATATGTACAGGGCTTAATCAATCTTGGAAAAAGGATTAAATAGACACATCTACTATTTTCAATCTATCACTTAAATTCTTCTACTTAAAAAGCATCATAATAGCATATTTACTTTTAAAATGCAATCAATCAAGTCATTTGACTTGCTATAGCAGGTTATTTTTCAAAATTTAAATTAGGAATATTGATAAATCTTACAAAATTCATATAAATTTGAAAAAATAATGTAATAATAATATAAAAATAGTATAAATGTAAATATAGATAAAAAACAAAACAAAATAAAATAAAATATTAAAAATGAAAAATGAAAAAATAAAATGAAAAAAAAAATTAAAGACCTTTCACAAAGATTTAGAATATACAAATATTTTTAAAATTAAAAATATTGGCTTTGACATTCTGAAAATTTTCACAATTCTTATACATACTTCTTTATATCTTAACATTTTTTTTTAGATTTTTTAAATATTAAAAACCTGGTATTTCAAATTAAAAACTTATTAAATTGCTAAATTAATCAATATTTTAAAGTAAGCACACTTAAAGTAATCAATTTTTTAAATACTTTTTTGAGTATAGGGGTTTAAATGATGGATTGTATTAGTAGATAGTAGAAGGACTTATTTGACTCTTTTATCATTAATCTCTATAAATTCATTCACAAATTTTTATACTTCTATTCAGAAGAACAACTAGAGATATGTCATCAATCTGTTCTACAAAAAAAGTTTTTCCGTGTAGTGGGTGGGTTGGATTTGGTTTTGACTTAAAACCAAATATAGAATCAAAGTAAAAAATTTTAATTCGGTTTCGATTCGATTTTACACTGCAAAACTTGGACCACCGTTTGATTGATTCGATTTGTTTCGGTTCAATTTTGATTTTTTAGTTTTTTTACCAAAAAAATGTCTTTTGATTTAAAATTGATACTCCGTATAATAGTTAGAGGGATCAAACATATTACATAAAGAATGCAAGCACACTAGAGCAAATAAAATAAAAATGAGAAAAATAAATATGTTTGGTTTATATGAGTATGCGAGAGAGATAAAAGTTTATATATTATTAATTTACATAGTTTGTGACTATGTTCTATGTAATATAGTTGAGATGAAAATTTATTGTTTTATCAATATAAAATCTTTAAATTACATAAATATAAAAGTTAATTACTATTAATAACCAGTAAAAACATATCATCATGATGCAACAAATTGCAACATGCATACATAATTGATCTATATACTATATTATTACAAGTAATGAATGTGTAAATGAATTTATAAACTAAACTAAACATAAAACGAACAACATTTCTCTAGTACAAGAAAATTCTTCCAAGTTTGACTTGGATCGGAGTTTAAGAAAGTGGGAATAAAGTGGAAATGTGTGGTTGTAGTTGTGTAAGAAAAAGGTGAAATGAATGTGAACCACACAAATAATCAAAAAGGTGAAGTTGGAAGAATTTTCTGGGACGGAGGGAGTATTTCACATTGTGGGTATTGACTTTTGTATCATATTTCAAAGGGATAAGGGTCAGATAGGGCCTCGAACTTGAAAAAAAATGTCAAATAAGGCCATATTTAGGATGCTCTGTCCGGCCGACGCCATTTGGGGCAGTTCCCGGTGGATTTTTTTGATGAATTTTTTTGAGAATCTTATTCATTAAGTCTAGTTTACTCATATCAAATTTGAACTAAAACTTCAATCGGGAATGCATTCAAATGAATTATTGAAGATAACTGTGCAGTTAAAAGCGCAGTTATCTTCATGAATTCATTTGAATGTCTTCCCGATTGAATTGTTAGTTCAAATTTGATATGGGTAAACTAGATTTAATGAATAAGATTCTCAAAAAATTTCATCAAAAAATTCCACCGGGAACCGTCCCAAATGGCGTTAGCCGGACATAGCATCCTAAATATGGCCTTATTTGACATTTTTTCCCAAGTTCGAGGCCCTATCTGACCCTTATCTCTATTTCAAACAACCACGTATCAATTCGATTTTTTACATTCGAATTCCGGTTCAATCCTATTGATCTGTGATTTTATATACGAGTAATTTGATTCGGTTTGGGATGGGATCTAGCCATACGGTGTGGCATTAGCAAGTCAGTCTGTCTCTTCATTTCACGACAAATACTACGAATCATGATAAGTCTATCTCTTCCTGCTTCTGCACAGCTCAGCTCTTCTCCTTCCATCAAACCCAGAAGTCTTTCTACCCCAAAGGCAGCTTCCGTTCAATTTCAGAAAAACTCTGATTTCCAAGTTCTCAAAGACCGTTTGATTCGCCAGGCCAATGGGGGCAACATCCGCCAAGCTATTTCGACCCTTGATCTCATTTCCCAGATGGGCTTCACCCCGGACCTCGCCTCCTATGCCGCCCTCCTCAAATCTTGCATCAGAACCCGTAACTTCAAACTGGGTAAGTCAATCCACTCCAGACTCGGGGTTTCACCACTCGAACCAGATACTATTGTTCTCAACTCACTCATAAGCTTGTATGCGAAATGCGGTGACTGGGAAACTGCAAAAGAAATTTTCGATGCAATGGGTGCACGGAGAGACATGGTTTCATGGAGTGTTATGATTTCGTGCTATGCTCGTTGTAATATGGAAAGGGAGGCCGTTTTAACATTCGTTGAAATGGTTAGTTTTGGAGAGTATCCGAACCAGTTCTGCTTCTCAACAGCTATTAAAGCTTGTTCTAATGCGAGGTTCGGCAGTACTGGATTGGCTATTTTTGGATTTGTGGTCAAAACTGGCTATTTTGATTCTGATGTTTGTGTGGGATGTGCAGTGATTGATTTATTTTCCAAAGGGCTTGGCGACTTAGAATCCTCTCAGAAGGTGTTTGAAGAAATGCCTGAGAAAAACTCTGTTTGCTGGACTCTCTTGATCGCTAGATTATCTCAATTGGGTAATACAAAGGATGCAATCCACCTGTTCGAGGAAATGCTTTTGAATGGGTTCACCCCAGATAGATTCACTCTTAGTAGCATTTTATCATCTTGTGCTGATATGGGGTTGGGGTGGCTATCATTTGGACAGCAGCTGCATTGTTTGGTCATGAAGTCTGGATTGTCAATGGATGTGTGGGTCGGATGCAGTTTGGTTAACATGTACTCCAAAAGCTCTACAGATGGATCAATGGACTACGCAAGGAAGGTTTTTGATCGAATGTCTCATCATAATGTCATGTCTTGGACTGCACTCATCACAGGATATGCACAAACAGGAGGTGATAGAGAAGCTATTAACTTGTACTGTATGATGATTGAAACCCGTGTTAAACCAAACCATTATACATTTTGTAGCCTTTTGAAAGCATGTGGGAATCTTTCCTGCCCTGATATTGGCCAGCAGATTTATAACCATGCTGTAAAATCAGGTCTTGCAGCCATGAACTGTGTGACTAACTCTTTGATAAGTATGTTTGCCAAATCAAGTAGGTTTGATGATGCATGGAAAGCTTTTGAATTTCTCTTTGAGAAGAATTGCATTTCCTATAACATAATTGCTGATGGATATGCCAAGAACTTGGATTCCTCTAAAGCTTTTGAACTTTTCAACCAAACTGAAGAGTCTGGAGTTGAAGTTGATGCTTTCACCTTTGTGACTCTCTTGAGTGCTGCTGCAAGTATAGGGGCAGTTAGTAAAGGGGAAGAAATTCATGCTCGACTCCTAAAATCAGGGTTCCAGACTAATCAATCTGTCTGCAATGCTTTGATCTCCATGTATTCAAAATGTGGTAACATCGAGGCTGCTTCTCAAGTATTCAATGAATCCAAAAACAGGAACGCAATATCTTGGACTTCAATCATAACAGGTTTTGCCAAACACGGTTTCGCCAAGAGAGCTTTAGAGTTGTTCTGTGACATGGTCAGCTCAGGTGTGAAACCAAACGAGGTCACATATATTGCTGTTCTATTAGCTTGCAGCCATGTTGGGTTGGTAGATTCTGGATGGAAACATTTCAACTTGATGTCCATAGAACATGGAATTCGTCCGAGAATGGAGCATTATGCATGCATGGTTGATCTTCTAGGTAGATCCGGAAATCTTGAGAATGCGGTAAGGTTCATTAAATGCATACCTTTCACCCCTGGTGCCATTATCTGGCGCACATTACTGGGAGCTTGTCAGGTTCATGGAAACATGATGCTTGGAGAG